GGCATTCAGATTTTTTTGATGCTATTCATCAAGTTTTGGAGAGTAGATGGAATAAGAGTAACACTCCTTTGCATTGTATGGCACACTCTTTGGTTCCTAAATATTATAATGAATCTTGGCTTCAAGATGGTAGTAACGGTGTTCCAAGAATTGCACCACATGAAGATCAAGAAGTTTCAATCAATAGAAGCAAATGCTTCAAAAGATTGTTTGAAAATCCAGTTGATTTGAGGAAAGCATATGCTGAATTTGGTTCTTTTTCGAGTGGATCGGAGTATTTCAATCAGCCCCATGTTATTGACGCAAGAATGTACGAAGAGCCAATCTCTTGGTGGGCCAATCATGGTTCTTCGATACCTTTGTTGCAATCTCTAGCATTTAAATTGCTCTCGCAACCGGCATCCTCTTCTTGTTGTGAGCGAAATTGGAGCACGTATTCACTAATCCAGAGTATCAAGAGAAACAAGCTGGCGACTAGTAGGGCAGAAGACTTGGTATTTATTCATTGTAATCTTCGACTCCTGTCACGAAAAGAAGAGGAGTACAAAGATGGGCCAACAAAATATTGGGATTTGTGTATGTATACCAAATACTTAAATTCTTTGTTTTTTTTTTAGATATCTAATTTTTTCACATTAATAATCATATATCTATATTTCTTGTAGGTGGAGATCAGATTGAATTAGATGGACAAGGTATCATTGAGATGGCGGACCTATCCCTTGATGAGCCAGAATTGGAGGCAATTACATTTGATGAAGAAGAGGAGTAAAGCTTGATCGGGAATGCTTGTTTAGTTTTATTTCAAGTGGAAAACTTTTTACTTTTCATGTTATGACATTTTGGATGTTTAACTTTATTTTCAATTGTGTTTTGTTCGAATTGGATTTTGTTAAATGAAACATTTGAATTGTGGTAATTATGCTATTTTGCTTTAATATTGTGGTTGTTTGCCTTAATTGAATCATTTTTTTAAGGAAAAAATTATAAGACGTATCCCCGTACCGGTATCCAAAATACGGATCCTTTTTAAACGTGTCCCCATATCTTAATTTTTAAAATGAGAAGAATCTGACTCCTAGATATGTACCCGTATCCGACACCCGCACCCGAGTCCGAGCATCATAGAGTCTATCAACACCACCACTTCCTGCCTTCCAATTAAACCCTTAACCTTCATGGTTTGAGAAGACGTCAAACCTACCACTAAGTTAATCGAAAGTTCCACTGCTTTGCCCACCTTATTTGCCTCAGTCTTGTGAAACTCTTTCTCCACCTCCTCTATCTTTTCCTGTACTTCTTTGCCTAGTAATACCATAACCTCCAACTCCTTGTTTCGACACTTATGTCCAATAGAGTACTTTTCATCGCACTTAAAACAAAGCCCTCTCTCTTTCTTTGCCTGAAATTCTGCCTCACTTAACCTCCTGTAAGTCGGGCCGGTGACCCTTCCAGGTACCGCCACTTGCGCTGCGCCATCGTCGGCAATGGGCGATGGTAGAGCTGGGTCGATCGATTTGGGGTTAAACCTTGAGGAGATCTCAAAGGCTGTAAATGCTCTCTGATAGGTTGGTTTAACAGATAAGGTTGGGTTATTGGACTGGTCACTTTACTTCTTACTGGACCCATCCCAGCCCAATGTTATCAGCTCATGTTAATTTTATCCTCAATTCGCTGGGCTGCTTCCATAATTTCTTCTAAGACCCTAGGCTTCAGCACCCTTAGTTCGGCCCTAATCTTCGGTTTTAGGCCATTAGTAAAGTGTCCTTCCAGCAATGCTTTTGAAATCTCTAGTAATGGAGCAGCCAACAATTCGAACCACTGGCGATATTCTCTCACTGAGCCTTCATGCCGGAGAGCTAGGAATTTCTCTTCAACGGACTCCCCATGGGCTGAACGAAAATGGTTTAATACGATCCCCTTTAATTCTTCCCAACTCTACACCTTCTTCCTCCTCTATTGCCACTAGTACCAAGATAGGGCCTCCCCTTCAAAGCAGATGGTCGTAGCTTCTAATTTCTCTTGTTCAGATATATGAGTAAGGCCGAAATATCTTTCGGCTTTGAAGACCCAACCCTCTGGGTCATCTCCTTCAAACACCGGAACTTCCAACCTTCTATTACGGAACTCTGGTCTCCACTAGCATACTTCGTCGTCCCCGTTTTCTTCTTCTGTCGGCATCGTAACTCCGAAATTCATAGTAAATGTGACGGCCTGAATGCTTGACTATTCGAGAGTCACTAAATAAAACTTAATTCTTTCACAAGAACTAAAATAAGAACATGAAATAATTTTATTTTTCTTCAATAAGTAAATAAATTTTGATTTTATCATGTAGCTGCGAAAAATGAAAGAAAGAAAATAATTCCAACATAACAACTAAATTCGAAATTCGAAATTCAAAGTTGTGTTTTAAATACAACACAATTTATTAATCCTAGTCCCATTGCCATCTCCACGTTGACTGTCTCGAACCATTAATTGCCTAAAAGGGGGAATAATCATAAGGTGAGATTTATAAAATCTCAATAAGTACGTCATGAATTTTACCGAACATTGTGTATAACTTAAAGGAGCATAATTGTCATAATCAACATAATGGAGACATAAGAATTTTACCTAACATAGGTGATAAGAATTTTTATGTGTAGCACTACTAAACTCCAGTCTCCTTATCATAATCATATCATAACATATGGGATCTATAATAATTTTCTTGAAATTCATAGCATAACAATAATTCAACATAAGCAGCGTATTTACAGTGAAGTTTGAAAGAAAGAGTAATATAGACTTGATCCCTCTACAATTTCCACTTCGGCTTATGAATGTGTATATTATTTGGACTAAAAAATATAATAGAGAGTGGTAGCATGTAAATGTGAACGAGGGGTTTAAATAGGAAAAGATTGGACATTCATCTTTAAGGAAAAATTCATGTTAGTGGAAATTGTTCATTGAAATTTGTGAAATGAGCAAGAATCTCTCCATCATTCCTACATTTATGCATTCATACTAACATTACCTTATGTTTGGTCAATCAAGCATAGATCAAGAATTTTCTCTATAAGTGTTTGACCAAAAATTTAATAAAAAACATATAGGAATTAGCATTTAAGGTAAGTTTGCAACAAAGTTCTAGAAGGTGGATTAACCTTCAAATGAGCCCCCTAAATTTTCGATTTTGATAATTAGACCTAGAATTTCGGGTGTGGGTATTATAGTAAATCCGGTCGAAGATGCTTCTTCTATCCTTTTCCCTTTCCGTTATTTCTCACGATCCTCCCAATGGCCCATGATAAATTTAAATTGTTCTATCAACAAGTTCATGTTATTTTCTATGTTCTGTACCCTATGCAACCCAGCCTTCATGGAATCCATGCCCGCCTGAAATGCATCCATTCTCCTCTCCAGGCTGCGGTGATAACCTTCCAATTCCCCTACGCGATCGGTCAACATCATCCCGAGGTGAATGCTATGATACCAAAATGATAAACTCCCGGCTAATTGAACTCCAGAATCACAACACAAAGGAGCTCAAATTGATAATAACAAAGAAGAACGTTTCATTAATGATAAATTGGATGAATAGAACCTAAATGAACGTAGAATAGTAAAAGGAAATGAAAGAGAAAACAACTCATAATTGGACTTTCGAGAGGTCCAAACTCTTCTGCCAAAAAAATTCCACTTGCTTGCTGCCCTTCTTGCCATTTCTTCCCACTTATATACCCCCGACTCCATAACAGATTATCCAACTAAATTTGTTGTGCCCATGTGCATAGAACTTTCTTTTCTCTGGTCCCCCTTTTCTGCCCCTGACTTCTTCTCTCGCCTGGAATACTGAATTTGAATAGGTGGCTTGTCATACTTCACTACTGTTAGTTAATTACCTCATTGAGATAATTATGGTGCTACCTCATTTTTCTTTCCTGTTTAATCTCATTTTATCCTTTTGATGCAGTTGGCCAGTGGAGAACTCAGATGCACTGAAGGTCGAGCACTCTGTTATGTCTTTTAATCAAACTCTTGACAACATAGACGAAACGATCGTGTATATTGATAAAATCATCAGAATTCGAGAATTAACTATTGTTGACATTGAGGGAGTTGCTGGCAGCAATGAGGTAGTTTCAAGCTGTTAAAATCATTCCTATCATTTTAGCTTCAACTGTTGAAATAAAACTACGCCGTAGCATGATTCTATTGTTGTCCTGCATCCTATATAACATCTTTTACCCTCTGTGATACCTATATTAACATGGAAATCTACCCCAAAGATAATCATGCTGAGCCTTAATATCATTGTTTAGTTCAACAAAAATAGCATGGGATAATTATTTTAAAGTGTCCTTGGTAACTGACTGGTAATTGAAGCAAAATAAAAAGCGCTTACTTCATTGATGTTTGTTATGTGCCTCGTATAGCTCTTATGCCAGGAAGAAAGTACGAATTAGTTGATCTTCTATTTAAGCTTAATAATTGTCGATTTAGTGCAAGTCATGCATCTTGCCTCTCGGTTTTGTGGTAGACTAGAATTATGCATAGGCATTTATTAGATCCCTATGATCTGAAATTCTGTTTTCAGGATGTTTATTGAATTTTGTAATGCTCATTTTAATTCTTTTTCATTGATTTTTTCCTTTTTTGCCTTTCTTTTAGGTTGAGGGAGGGGGGGGGGGGGGGGGGGGGTTTT